TCCTAGCGATCGATACATCTCTGGTGTTTGAGATGAAAGTGGCTTTACAACTGGGGCGGAGCCTATCAGAGCTTAGACACCTCGGTGCAACTTCAAGTTCCAGAGATGGGGAAGCCACAGAGGAGTTTGGAAGCAAGCTCTTCTGATTTGTCAAAGATCGATGAACCGTACTATATTATTATCCATCTTGACCTTGCAGCGCTGAGTTGATGCGGTTTTCTAGATATATTTCTTGTATGACGATTAGCATTGTTGTTACATGGTTCAACACAGAAGTGAGATTGTGAGAAGAGAGAACCTCTCACCTTTGTTCATAATTTATTTGTTCATTCATTGTAATGGTAAATTTGAAGGTTTCTTAACATAACATTAACATGACGCTGTTGCCCATGACATTATTATTCCTTGTAAGTTATACATTACTGACTGATACAAGTACTGTAGTAAACTAAATTATTTTTCTAAAATGGGTTTTAAATAAAATATTATATTTATTAAAGCAAAAGCCATAGCCCATATAGCCATAGGGAAGCAATTTGATGGGACATGAGATTAGAGTCTGATGTGGGCCTCTAAATCCGGGTCGGGTAATGGTTGAGTGCTTTCGACTGTTCAGACCAGCTATCTTGTCTAAAAAAATTTACGAAAAGAAACATGGATTAATTATGCTGTTCTCCAACCCATCGGGGTTGATTCGATCCAACACCTATTCCATCCGTAGATTGCACATTATCCAAAATTTTGCAAATTTAAAAGGGACCCATAGAAATTGTTGGGGCCCAGTGGATGGATATAAATTCCACAGAAAACAGGGAGAAAACAGTCCGAATCAGAAAGCGAAATTATTTTGACATTTGGTGTGACAATGGTCACATTAATATATTGAGACCCATTGAAAGTCAAGACAACAGTTTGGTTTTCTTTGAAAGTCAAAGATGTGGACGCAGGGGAGAAGGGGCGGCCAATAACCCAAAAAAGAAAGAAGACAAGGAACAGTAGTAGTCCATCCTCTGATCCAATATTCAAAATTGTTGACAAGACTAATTATAAGACTTTCAATTGTTTTCATTCCTCTCTCCAATCTTTATGAAAGAGATTGATGATACCTTATTCTGCTCCATCTTGATCATCTCATTAGATCAGATCAGCCAATAATAAAAAAGTCTATGAGCACACTGATCAAATGGAACAACATGGAAAACAAGAGTAAAGAGAACCAATTAACTGTTAAACATGGCAGCCCTTCAAACTTCAAAGAGGAACAAATGCTGCTCTCAATGCCCCAAAAATTTGACCGACACTTGTCTTACTCTTCCCAAGTCCTGACCAGGGACTTAGTGGAGGAATTGAACCTCAGAAATGCATGGTTACACAACCACAACTGGTAGTAGAGAGCAATTGCTACTACTACGTATCGGGAGAGACGATGACTTACTTTCAATTAGATTTGTGATTTCTGAGCTTTATATGCAATATTGCTGACCGAAGATGCCTGCTAACATTGAAGAATAAACTTGAACCACATTCATCAATGCAATCTGCAATGACCATGGCCGCTGCAACTATGGCCAGACCTTTTGCAATATCCCCAATTAATGACAAGACTATTGTGCCACTCAAACTCTACCCATCTACTTTGTTATATATCCGGCAGCCACTGGGATGTTGCTATGCTGATGAACAAAATTCGATCTGCCATCTCAACTTGTCGAAGAGCAATAAACGCAGCAGCTTCATGGGCAGAGAGAGAGAGTGAGAGAGTCAGAGAGAGATGGGTGAACAAATTACACCAAAATGTAGGGCCTGCTGTTCGGTGGCACCAACAATGGTGGCAATTACACAAGGGCAAAGTGAGAAAAGAGAGCCAAATGGGTGTAAAGTTAGAAGAGGAAATGTTGAGATTTAATATCGATAGAAATTAGGTTTCATAGGGTTTGTTTAGATATTTATTGGCATCTTAATTCTATTTATCTTTTGCTTGTTTTTTTTTCATGTTTTAAAAAAAGTGTTTTTTTTTTTTTTAATTTTGGTTTTTCTATCAAAAGCTTTAAGTTTTTATGTTCTTCCTCGAATCTTAAATCTAAAGAATAGAAGATTTCTCATAGATTTCCTTTTTTCAGAAACCTCTTAGTGGCATAAATTATATGGGCTCTTTATTGCAAAAGGCACATGCACACATGTGATGGTATTTTAAAGTGCAATTCTCTCTCTCTCTCTTTTAAAATCTAAGACTGCTCAGTATAAATCAAGAACGATATAAAAGTTTACACCGGTTCGGTCTTGTTGGCGTTTGGAAGGAGTGTAAATGAAGGTCGATATAAAATTACACTCCGTTTTAGATTTGTTGGCGTTTGGATGGAATAGAATTTTACATTGTGAATCGATATAAAACCTTATTAAGCATAAAATTTTTTATCACGGTTTTCAAAATGTAACAGTCACCTATTATACAGTTGAGTGTAAAACAAAGCCTAAGGATTAAGAGTGATAAAGTGTGATTTAACAGCTACAGTTTAGGGCCTGTTTGGTTCACATTTGGAATTGGAATCAAAATCTATCAAAAGTTAGAATCAAAATGCATGGTTTATTCCTCCTGCCTGTTTGGTTCAACAAACAAATACTTGGTTGTATCTTGGAAGCCAATTAATCTCCATCTTAATTAATGGGAAATTCAATTCACTAATTAAACAAGGACAACTAACATTTCAAAAATAGTACATCTCAAATCCTTGATTATTATCTTTGTCATCTTATTAAATGACATTGTGGAATATGTGAGACTAAACATGACAGGTCCTTTACTAACCGGCCGGCCTAGCTTCTCGTATGATGGGAAATACTTTTTAATAGACCATCCGTATGGTATCATCTAATTAGTTAAAAATGTGAATCTTGTCTTTTGTTTTTATTCGAATTCAAATCATCAGATAGATCTTATCCATTGGAGAGTGCACTTGAGGTCCATTAAGCTTATCATAGAGAGTCTGCAATTACACAGACTTGATCTGGCACTTTCATATTTAGAGGGATGCCGAGTGACCATCTAAACTACAGGGTTTCTGCCTCATTTCTCACCTTCTTTCTCAATAATCCATCCAACAATTTGCATTTCTTATCAAACAATTAATCACTAGTTGGTACGTGCTTGCAGTTATTCAGCATCAGCTCAGCGACTCTTAACATTAACAGATGTGGACTCTCATCCAATAACGTTTGGAAGAGTACAAGATGAAAACATTTGGTTGGTTGTGAAATGTGATATGGTGTGGGCTTTTATAATACAGGCAGTTGGGGTAGTAGGTGTGTTGGTGGCTTGCTTTCACTAACTGCCTAGAAACTAAATTAGCGTATAGCTTGCTTTCTAGACTAATTAATTAGTAATTTTTAGTTAACACTTGACAGTAGTGGTTTCAACTTTTTCCAAGTATTGTTTGTTTATGTTGATGTAAGGTAGATGATTTCAAATCTCTATTTCTTGGGCTTTTGCCTTGCCAAGTAGGGAAATGAAAACCTGGGGAAGTACGTTGCCAGAGCTAAATTTAGATGGACGGTGATATTATTATTATTATTTTCTTTTTGGGGTGCTGCGTACTTTGATAAACATACCCATAAGGCCATAATTTATTGGTAATTGTTTCTTAATTAACCGACTAATTAGTTAATTAATTGATATAGTTTACCATCTCATTCTCTTCCTCTCTTCCTTCACTCCTCACGTTGGCTCAACTCAATCATCCATCATCCATTCTTCACTTTCACTACACAAATGGTTTGAATTCTTTTGCATATAATAGTAAGGTGCAGAAATCCCAATAGAGAAAGAAATGCATATTGCATAATACACACCACCAACATAGCTTATTATCTGCCCTAAAGAGGGAGAAAGAGAGAGATTTGAAGGAGGAGCCTGAGACCTCTCAACATGCATATCAGCACATGCCAATGTCACTCTGGCCGTATGACTTGATCCGTTTTATTTTAGTTTATACTTGGTCTTTCTTTAATCCCTTTTGAACTGACAAGTACGAATTCTGTATCCTCTGCCGTTCAAAAGTAAAGAAAGGGTCAGAATTGATGAGTGGTTGGTAGGAATTTGGTTCCTTCAATTGGGCCCTACTTGCTCTAATAAAATGTAGCTATGGGTATGGAGGAGATAGGCTTCCATCAGGGTAAGTCCTTGCCCACACGTTCCAACTATCTTTTGTAATCTTGTATTTGGAATATCTTCTTGACAAATAAAGCACAATAAGTATGAAGATATTCTCAATCCAAGAAACGGGTTTTGCCCTGATCAAAGCTATAGTCATATAAAATCAATTTGATGAAGCCCATGACCATGTAATACGGGCTAGATATCCAACAACCAATACTCCAATATGGGCCAAGGATAAAATTGTGCTTGATTGCTAGTTTTTCACTTGGTCCTAACTGGCTCAGGAAAACACACATCCCATGTGAGTGATGCTTGAATAGAATAGATCATGAGCAATGCAATACTACAGTTCAACTCTCTTCTAAGGTTGTGCTTGTTTTTGGTGCAAATGAGAATCAATGGAAAATTTTACCATTCCTTTGTATTTATCTATATTTATTTTCGGTGTAAATATAGATCAGTGTAAAACTTCACTCCCAATCTGTATTTTATAATATAATACATTAATTTTATCAATATACTTTTAGATTGATTATCATGTAAAAAAAAATCCAACAGTTCACTAAAATTTTAAACCCATCAGCATATTGAAATCTATCGATTGAGTTTTACATGGATGGAGTTTACACGAAAAACAAACGCGGCCATGCCCATGTACTTACTAGGCTAGACTTGTTTTTGGAGCGTTTTCTTCTAATCTGCGCAGACCATAAAAAACTGGTCCAGTTTTGAGGTTCCCTTTACTCCTCCAGCTCCAAGTCACTACTCACTAATAATGGAAACCTGGTCTGGCCCATTTCACCTTCAAGTTATTGATATTATATAGCTATAAATATATAAGTAGTCATTTCCAAAGAAAAACAGCAGAGAGAGAGAGAGGAGGACAGGAGGCAGAGCAATGGCAGTAAAGGAATGATGATGGAAAGTCATCCTCTTCCTTAGCTGTTCCTTTCTTTTTCTATACTTTTCTTCTGCTTTCTTCAATCTTGCCTTTTCGTTGCTGCTCAGTGCCCACAACAATCTCGTCTCGTGGTAATTATCATACCTCACGTTTTGCGCTCCCACCTCTTCTCTCATCCAGGACGCTTTTAAATTCTCTAATTTTTCTCTGAGACGTCAAGGATCCCCTTCGTTTTTTCCGAGATGATTCAGCTTCTGTTTACGATCATATTCTCCGAGATGGCTCTGATTCTTCTCTTCTTGTTCAAAACCCCTCTAAGAAAACTTGTGATAATGGGTTTGGATCGCGTGAAGCGGGGACGGGGCCCTGTGATGGTTAAGACCGTCGCTGGGACTGTGTTTGTGGTCTTGCTTTCAAGTGTGTACAGTATGATGAAGATCCAGAAACGTTCGATGGATGCCGCCGTTGTCGTTAATCCCACGGATCAGGTTCTCATGGCGAAGCACCTTCTTGAAGCGTCTCTCATGGGTAATTCTTCTTGACAACCTTGTTGGGTTTACTTTATTTTGATCGGGTTCACAATGTAAACACGTCTATTTGATATTCTAGATTGAATTATGCGAGCACTAAGTGGGCTCTGGTTGGCCATTGGTTTATATGCGACTCAATTGATCTTTCATGTGTTGTTTGGTTCTGATTTGAGTAGTTATCGCTGGACTACTGTTCTATTTATTAGATTGGAGGTATCACTATTCTTTTTTCCGCAATTCTATTGAAATAATTTTAATTTTTCTAATCGCGAATTAGATGAATGAAGTTAGTTCTGTTTTTCTTGATCCGGTGGAATGTAGTTCGTTCACACCTAGAGAATTGAAAGTTTATCGTTCCTCTATCTAGAATTGTCGGCACTCCCTTTTAACAACTATTTCTCCACTCATTATTTTCCTTTAAACAAATAATTACCAACTTATTGACCACTTGTTTAAAGGATGAATATACATTTTCTGTTCAAAATAACCACAGAAGGTTTATGCTGTTTAACGGCAGAAGTATGACTTAACAGTAAAAAAAAAATGGTACAATGCACAATTTTGAGGCAGGGTATGTGAATTTGTGGGATCAAAGATATACATTAATTGAGTAATAATTTTTCTTTAACTAATTGTTTGCTCTGAGCAATGAATATTAGATTAAAGAATGTGACAATATACAAATGTAGCTTGAATTGATGAACAATGCTTAGAATGCAAACTATGAAAACTGCATCTGGTGAAACCGTGAAAGAAGCAGAAGATTAATATAGAGAAACAGCTATTAACCAAAAGGAAATGGTCTTCTTTGTAAAGGAATGTGGTTCTCAAATAGCTAAGCGAAGAGTTTCTTTAGAAGCCAACAAATTTAAATAAAAATTGAGGAACCCAATGGGACTGCTAGGTAGCTGTAGGGAAAGCAAAGTTCCAGATCTCTGCCAAGTATTGAAATAGAAATAAGAACTACTCCCAGTACATGTATTGATCATGATATTGCCACTTGGAATATGGTTCTTGAATATCTTTGGAACTTTGTAGACCCCAGTGAAATGGAAACATTTTTGGAGCAACCTGTGGCAATATTTCCATATTCTCAGTTGGTCATTGTGGTGTTCACTTGTAGCTTTATATTCAGGCATACTTCCCCTTCTCTCTTACCTTGGTTGTCTAGTTACTGAAGACACTTCTACAATATATCTTGCACTCTAACTTTTCACTGGATTTTATCATTTATTTATTTTTGCCTATTCTTTATATTCATGCATAACTTCCTCTTCTCTCTTACCTTGGTTGTCTAGTTACTGAAGATACTACTACAATCTATTCTATCCTACTCTATAAGTTTGCACTGGATTGTATCATTTATTTATTTATACTTATTTTGGTGAATGTGGTTCCCTTTTGTTTGGACAACTGTTTTTTGTCTATATTTTGACATTTCTTTTGCTTCATTTTTGTCTATAACAGTCCATTCATGTTTCTCTTGTGGAAATATATGATGCACTTTACTTATTTTATCTGAATGTTCCTTAACAACCTGGATAATTCCAGATGTTTACCATCAGCTTCTCCATCACATGTTCTTCTGAAAAATCTTGGTAATGTGTAAAACACCTGTTGGAGCTAAAAGGTTATCATCATCATTAAGGGAAAAATTCTACTACTAGTTGTTAACTTTTTCTTAACAGGAGTCTACTTGCAACTGTTTCAGAAAGTTCAGGGGAGGTGATTCCAATTACCAAACTTCAGGGGAGGTTTTAGCAATGGTCTGAAACTTTAGAGGAGGTTTAAGCAATTTACCCTATTATATATAACATGACAAAGTGCTTTGCACATCTATTGTGTTCCCCATTTTGTGTTATTTTTTTGGTTTGTGTCCCAAATTATCAAGTTTTATGTTTCCTTATCACCTAGATCACGTCTAACCTGGGTAGTTCAAAAAACCCAAGCATTACCTTGTCTCATTGACTATATTGGGTTGCTTGGTATTTTCTGACAAAGGAAACTGTTCCGGATATGCTGCATTGTTTTTCTGCTTTAGACTTGTGGGCCTTCCAAGTTCTTTTTCCTGTAGGATGCTTGTGCTGAGAGTTTTCATACCCTTTGCATACTCTTGTACCTTTTATTGGGGTGGTAGTGGAGTGATATTTATTTCTTTTAGGATGTCATTATGTGGAGATGCAGAATGTTGAGGTACAAGTGTACAACCAGGTGATGGAAGGCCATGCTATATCATGGACTTTGTCTGTCAAGCAGCCCTTAAATCAGAAAAGGACATACCTAAACACCAGATGACCTCCTCTGTATGTGCACAAAATCACATGATTATGTGTTCTATAACTGATGGAATAGGCACTTGACTATAATTTTCATTAAATGTATTTGGAAACATTTTCCACCGTTTTCTTGTTTTGGAACTTATTGTTATTCTCAAACATTGCAGCTACCATAAAGGCCACACAATGAGGAAAATAAATGTCAATTTGATGGCAGGTTCTGATTTTTTCTTTCTTTTTGTTTCAGTAAATTGTAGAGATAAAATAAAATGCTAATGTGGTGTTGGATCTCAATGTTTGACTATGTTTGAAGCTTATTTTGTTTCACTAATATGAGCTGAATTTCCTAAAACTTCCATTCACTGTCAATATTTTAGTCCACTATCCCAAGGATTGCTTCTTCGTAGCCTGTAAATGTAACTCAATTTTGGGGTTGAACTATATGCAGGATTCTCTCTTTTCCTTGCACTGATGATAGACAGACTACACCATTATATCAGAGAACTCCGCTTGCTAAGAAAGGGCATGGAAGCCATAAAGAAACAAAACCGAGGATTTGAAGATGGGAAAAATGGGGTTGCAGAGGAGACCAAAGCTTTAGAAGAAGAGATGGCCAACTTGAGGGGAAAAGTTAAACAACTGGAATCTGAATGCGAGGTACAGACAAAGGAGTTGAAGACAGCAGAAGCCAATACAGTGGCTCTGAGAAAGCAGTCAGAAGGGATCCTTCTTGAGTATGATCGCTTGATGGAGGACAACCAAAACCTTCGGAACCAGTTGCAGTCAATTGACCGTAGGCTGTCACGTTCTGACAGCAAGAAGAACACTTGACGAACCAAATACCAGGTGTCAAACAATCCCACCCTTTTGCTTTTTATTTTTGTCATTTGATATCTGTATTTGGTCTATTGATTAGAGCGACCATTGTAACCGTGATGTGAAACCTAAAGGACTGAAAGAGTTGAAAACAGGCAAATGATTCTCTACTTTGTATAATTGCAGTTTAGGTAATACAGTGTGCTTTAACAATTGATTTTGTGTTGGTAGAAGGATTTTCTTTTCTTATGGTTGGGGATGCAAGTTGGGTTGCTTGACTTAATTTGAGCTACATCAGGCTCAGGTTAGGGTTCAGGCCCGTTGAAAATTTGACAAATTCCCAATTCAACCTGACCCAAGTTATACACCTACTTATGGTAGTGTTTGACTGGAAATGCGTATGTTGAGATGGTTGAGTAGAAAAACTAAAAAGGTCAGGGTCACAAACGAAGTCATTTCATGGAACTTAGGAATAACTCCAATAGGTGATTTTTCTTCCAAGAAAAAAAAAAAAAGAAGAAAAACTCCAGTAGGTGATAAAATGAGAGAAAGCAGACTTAGATGGTTCAGGGATGTGCATGGGAGACCACTTACAGCACTTTAAATAAAAAACGATCAGTTAAGAACCTGAAAGAGGTAGAAAGGGTAGGGGCAGACCTAGAGGACATTGGTCAAAGTAGTAAGAAATGATTTAAGTGCATATAATTTAATAATGGATATGGCATTAAACAAAATGGAATAGCGAAAATCATGATCATCTAAACCTTGTTTTTTTTTTTTTTTAATTCCAATCCAACAATATGAGATCGGATATATGAATTGCACAGTATAATCAATATGCTATAATTAAATATTTGGGGCTTTCTAGATTTAGAGCCATATCTACCCTGGATTTTCCAGATGGAGTTCTCTTTTTGGTTTTATAGGTTTTTATGGATGGTGCAGAAGCAGAAAGAAGCTTCTGCTTTTCATTTTGCTTGCTTTGTTCTTGAGGTGATGACTTTGGACGATGGAAACGAGAGGTGCCAATATGCTGCCACAGCTCTGGTCTTGGGCCCCATGTCAAGTCCTAGTCCTAATTAGCAATGGTGCATGGCAAGTCAACTTCTCGCAAAATATCAAAATTATGAGAACAGGGGTAATGAGAAGATACTCTATCCCTAGTTCTAGTTGACTAGTAGTATCAGTAGCCAATTAGTAAATGAACTCACATTAGTTGCCATATCTGTTTCAGTCTACAGAGGTACCATAGTTCATAAAGCACTACCTATTAGCCCATGACGAGAAGTAATGAAATTTCGCGACCTTCTGCTGCTGCTGCTGTTTCTATCGTCTCTTTGCCACCTCCTCCCCCCAAGTTGTTGGCTGCTGTTTAAGTCCTAGTCGGGAGACTAGAGTTATCAATGGGTCTGGTCCTATTGGAACTAAATCCGAAATCAACAAGAAAATACAAAGACGCATCACTGAACCAGAGACTAGCGGATTGATTGTTTACAAGTATAGTGCTAAGCCCTTTATTAATCCTAGGAGAAAGTAAAGAATTTGAAACTAGTGATCCTTCTACTGTAAAAGGCTTTTCCAAAGATTGCTTTATTGCATTTCATGCCAAATTATGAATCGGACTGGGATGGATCTGGATTCAATTCGACTATAAACAGATTTGGAGTTTGAGATCCATGTCCAACTTAATTTGGTCAAGTTTGCATCCAGATAATTAGACACCATTGACAAGCCTAAGCTTAAAAAGGCATAGGTGCTCATGTTCTCCTTATGTTATTGCCAATGCAGATGCTTGTGCATTGGGTTCAGTTTGGGAAGAGTGTTCAGTACAAATTTATATACAGTATCTCTAAACCTCGAGAAAATAGAAAATTTATTTTGGTGCTATCTGTCCAAATACAAGGTTTAGAACTACATAGGAGGTTTTGCATTGAATATATTTGTATTTGCAGTCTTCCGAAACTAAGCCTTGGGAAATCACTCCATGAATGACAATTGAGATGTTCCTGATGTATGGTTGTAATGTTTGGTGGATTAAAGATCCAGATTATTTTTGGGTTGTCAATGGGTCAGGTTTGGTTCAAGACAGCTTGTACCAATTCTGAATCAATTATTTAAGGGAGAAATCTGCATTGGGCAAATCTGTACTTCTCCAATTATTTAATCAAGACAAAACATAGACCCAGACCTGTCCCAATTAATAAATGCATCTGACATGATTAGACTAACATATATAATTGTTTATGAAAATAATAATTTAAAATTGATTTTTGATAATATAATCTTAATAAAAAAGACAGCAAAATAATAAATTATTTATATATTAACAAATCAAGATTTTTAACCAAAATTATCTTCTAGACAAAATATAATAAAAATTACAAAAAAATAAAAAAAATTATATATTATTAACAACATAATGAGTTTGGATCATAATTGATTCAGAACAAGCAAGAACGAAAACCAGCATAATCAATTCCGTTTGGTTCAGTTTAGTCAGATAGAACTTCACTCTAATCTCAGAGCCATAGTCCTTCACTCTTTCCTAAGAAGATTAGTCAAACAAATAATCTAAACAGAAAATCTCTTTCTTTTTACACATACAGTACTCCATTGGGCCAAATAGGGGTGGCAATTTTTCACCCAACCCACCCAGTATCTAATCCACCCAACCCGCCCATTTACTTGGTTGGTTGTGTGATCAACCCATCACCCAATTCGCCCATTTAAATGGGTTGGGTTGGGGATAACCATTGGGTTAACTATTACAGACATAAGTATTAATTCTTTCCTTTGCCTTGTGTTTAATTTTCTTCATTTGAATTAAATAATTTATAATTAATGCATTAAATTTCTATTAATTGTTGATTAAATTTAGTTTTGTCTTGAATCGACACACTTCACCCAACATAAATCCAAATCCATTTGACCCAAGTTTGGACCAATTCAATGCGGTCTAACCCAATCCAACATATACCGATCCGGGTCAACCCAAATCCGAAACAGTTTCGAGCGGGATGGTTCGATGTCCACGTGCTTTTCCTGATCTGGACCGTCCGACCGACCAATATCCACACAACTTGACCTGAATCCGGACGGACCCGATTTACTTACATTGACTCGCTTCGGGTCAGTTGGTTCGGTCCAAAGCCCATGCACAAACTTGATATGGTTCGGTCCAAGTCAATCCACCATTGATTGAACTGGTCCGGTCTGGTCCGACCGGATTGATCTAGATCTAAATGGTCTAACCACCCTTGATGTGATTAGCTCGAAGATAATCTAATTAGATAGTTCAAGTTGCTCTGACCAGTTTGAACCTAAGTGGTTCAGTCAAACCTGAAATCTAGACATAGTCAAAATGGCTTCGCCGCTTGTGTAAAAATAACATGCATGTAATGTGATTTGAACCTTCACCACTTGTGTAAAAAGTAACTACAATTACCACCAAGCTATGACAACTTATTTGTTAAGAGAGAGAGAGAGAGAGAGAGAGAGAGAGAGAGTTTTTTAAGTCCATAAATATAAGATTAATGGATTTGGATGGATTGGATTGGGTTAAAGCGGGTTTGGATTGAACCCAACCCATTTAATTTTATGTAATTGGGTCATTAATGGGTTGGCAAGTTAGATGGGTTGGGTTGAAGCTCAACCCAAACCAAACCTAACCCAACCCACCCAATTGCCACTAGGACCAAACTCAATTAATTTTTACGAGAGGAGCTCTAAAATCTTTTAGGCAATTAGTAGGAACTAATGCAATGCACAAGCCAATGTTAAAAATGATCATATTTAGTAGTAGAAAGTTATAATTATGATTTATGACCGAAAAGCTTTGTCAAAAGTTGGTACTAAAAATATCTCATGTTTTAGAAGGGAGTGAAAAAGGAACCAAAAATTTAATTATGTGTATATTCAAAATACTTTGAAAAATAACCTTGACTTCATTTGAATCAAGGGATTTTTACTGTTTAATCCATCCCTAGAAATCTTAGCTCCACTGTACAGGTGGGATGAATCCTGACCGTGGATTTCGTAGAATACGGTTTATAAGGGGGGGCTACTAATAGACTAGGAGGGGGCTGTAATTTCAGATTTCTAAAGTGGAGTGCAGTCTACTTATCCCTTAAATTCAAATATGTATAAGTTGGATTTGAAAATATGATCCATTTATTAATTGAATTGAATTCAGATTTTTCTCGACCCAATCTTGTTAGTATCTTGTTTATTTTTCGACTCTTTAGGATCAAGTGGGATCATAGGTATAGATAAACCTATTTCTGTTTATTTACAATATATGTTTTTTTTTTACTTTTTTTATTTAATTTTGTAGATTTAGGCTCAGTTTGGATGGAATACAAATACAAATATGCAGAGTGCAAAACCTTATATTTTGTATTATTTTATATGTATTTGTACTACACTTATTTGTATTTGTACTCTTTCCAAACTAAGCCTTATGATAGTTTTGCAGAAGTTTATTCAGTATTGAATTGGATTAAAATTGGATATTTTGATATATAAATGAATCAAATTTGAATTTATGCTAGTTTCATGTATTCATTGGGTATCAAATTGATCTTGGATGTCCCAAATTCTTATTGTATCGGATTTGGATAAACCCTATCCAAATACGATCCAATTCGTCTGGCTAGTTGTAGAGGAGACTTTGGTATCATACTATCATATCTCGCTGTCAAGGTTTAAAATTTCGATACAATACGCCCGATATGGGGCATACCGTATCGTATCTTTTAAAAATAGATACAGGATACGCATGGAAATTGTGCATATCGTCTCTTTCATGCATATCAGACCCATCTCGGGGGCGTATCAAGGCGTATCGGGGTGTATTGGGGCATATTAGTAGCGTATCGATGAAAAAGATACGACAAAAAACTAAAAAAAAAATAAAGGGAAAAGTAAAATTCTATTCCCTAAAATAAGTCTTTTTTCACCCCCAAAATGACTCTAAAACTCCAAACCTCATTCCTAGAGTGCTAAATTTGAAAAAAGAAAATTGCAAGAAACAAGTGTGAATCATTAATTTTTTTTTTTTTGAAAAATTTTCAAGTTTTGAAAAAATATGGTAAAAATAGGTAAATTTTTTTCAATTTTTTATAATATCTTATGATTTCTTTTTTTCTTGAATGTACAAATTTATGCTAATATACATTTCTTACATTCAAAATCATAATTTTTTTTTGTGTTATGGGTAGATTTATAGAAATTTCATGAAGATATTTGGGGAAAATATAAACTAACAAAAAATTTAAAAATGTAATTTTTTCCTTGCCTATAAAGAATAAATATGTTTTAGATCTATGGATTTATCTATCATATCCATAGAGCAATTGAAATTTCTTCTTTAATATTTTTTTATTTTTTATATTTTTAGTATTAAAAAATAAATAATAATTAATTATATTTTATCATTTGATCACAACAATTGAATATATTATAATTCTATGGATGATCTATCATATCCACACACCAATTGAAATTTCTTCTTTGATAATTATTTTTTTTATTTTTATATTTATAGAATTAAAAAACAAATAATTAATTAATCATATTTTATCATTTGATCACAATGGTTGAATATATTATAATTCTATGGATGATCTATCATATCCACAATGCAATTGAAAATTGTTCTTTAATAACTTTTTTTTGAATATATTATATAGTTTTTATTTATTTTTTGAAAATAAATAATAAATAATAAATATTTAAATAATAATTAATTATTAATTATATTCTCACTTATATGTTGTGCCAATGCATATTTTATGGTTGGATAGGAGAGTTGGGTTTTTCCCATCCCATAAAACATTAAAACTTAAGAATTATAATTTATAAATTATAGTTAAGCATAGGATTTTTAGTGAAATTACAATTAAGTACAATGTATTTCTTCGTAAAACCATTAAAATATATTAATTTAATGTATATACACCTCATTGAGGTCTAATATTTAGTATTGTTGATGTATTTTTATGGTTTATTAAAGCATTTATAGTGTTTCCAAGTGTATCTATGCATATCTTAGTTTTTCTCTGATATGCATGCGTATCTAACCGTTCCAACTGCCTTTTTCAACCTTGCGTTGGGACTATCTAGGGGCGAATACAAATTGAGCATTTCAACCTTGCATTGGAAATATCTTGGGGTGGATACGAACCGAGAATCAAATGTCATTAAAAATATTATGATCGAATAAGAACTTAAATAAATTCTAAGGAAAATCAAAGTTCTCGCCACTTTCTGTACATATCCAATAAACTATCTCTATAAATAGTTTATGAAGATAAGAGAGAGAGAGAGAAATGAGGTTGAAGTCAACTTGGAGCTTTCAATTTTATATAGGAGAAAGTAAGATAATATTTTCTTTTAAACACATGCTTGTTTCATCTTGTTGTCATTTGTCAAGATGGTAGGTTGTCATGATCTTGTCAAATGGGGCTGAAACTTGTAGCTGTAGGCCATTGAATTTGCATTCTACTTTAAATAGGAAAGGTTATCCTAATCTCGTTTTTGTTTCTTTTTGAATGACATAAAAAGGGAAGACAAAGTTGTGAGCTAGAGGATGTTTTTGTTTCTCCATATGCAAATAATGCTTTGAAAGCTTTCCCAGGGAAAGGGGGTTTGTGCATTAGTCTTTTTTTTGTTTATGTGGATAAAATTTGACAGCTATATAAATTTTTTGTCTCTTTATAAACAAAAATTTTTATTACAATGCTTCAATCATCTTTTAAATTTAATCTAAAAAATTTTGCAGGATTTATCTTTGTATATGTATGCTTGCTTGTAGAAGGCCCATAATGCGTTGGGTCTAAACTTAGAGACTTAGAATAGCTAATTATGATAGTAGTGGGTCTGGATTTGTAAGGATTTGTAAATGTTTTTGATAGTCCCAGGTCAATAATTAAGAACAAAGTTAAGTGTTAAACAAGCAGAGCAATTGGGCACGTATTTGGGGCTCGGATTCAACCTCAAGTAGGCTTGGTTCATTATCGAGCTCGAGTCAAACCAAGTTAGAATCGAGATCGAGCCCGAATTCGAGCTTGGTATTTTATTCTCAAGCTGAACTTGAATAATCAAATATTTGGCTTGGCTCATATCCACCCCTAAGCCAAGAAATAAAGCATGGAGATATTTTCGATACAAGATTGTAAAAGCTGCTCGAACGGGCTTTACCCTGACCAAAGTCGAATTTCTTATGGATTAGGCTATGTAATACTATTAAAGAGTGAATACATGAGTGATCGACACAGGTTTTGGTACGGATCACTCGAATAATGCCAAACTGGTCATGAGGACCATCGTTTCTAGCTGGTCCTCTACCACCCAAATCATCCAAAACATTCTTTAGGATTTAGATTACATTTAAGATAAACAATATATTAGATCTATTTGACTGCTATGATGTTTCTATGGCACATCAACATGCTCTAACCATAGAGAAACAAAGCATCCGACCTAACCAATTGGGTCGAACCCAAACTAATGTGGCCAGACCACTTCCATGTAATAATCCTAACCCGCATTCAAATCAGCCACTGTCCCGTGGGCTGAATCAAAACAAAGGATGTGGACCTAATCCAAGCCAGGTGGGTCCACCTAGACTGAAGTGTTTTAAATGTGGTGAAGCAGGCCATAAATCTGTTGAATGTGTGAGGGGTGATAAAAGAAAAGGGGCGATGTTTGTAGAAGATGAGAGTGAAGCCCAATTAGAAGCATTTGACTGTTCAGCCCCAACTATTTTTGACCCATATAATGAAAAAACCTTAGAGGGAGAAATGGTGTGTGGGGATGTAGAAGAGGCCTTAGTGATGCAGTAATCATTCCTAACTCCTAGGGATGAATCATCGGATTGGCTAAGAAATAATATTTTCCACACTACGTGTACTATGGGTTGGAAAGTTACAAGCCTTGTAATTGATAGCGAGAGTTGTGAGAATGTTATAGCGGAAGTAGTCGTTCATAAGCTGAACCTAAAAACTCAACAACACCCTCAGCCCTACAAGCTTACATGGCTAAAAAGAAAGAATGAGGTTTCAGTCACACAACGGTGCCTAGTGAGTTTTTCTATTGGCAACAATTATAGTGATCCTGTGTGGTGTGATATTGTATGCATGGATGCCTACCATTTGCTACTTGGGCGCCCTTGGCAATTTGACCGCTACATAGTCCATGACGGACGGAAGAACATTTATTCTCTTCAGTTTAAAGGCAAAAGGCTGACCTTATGTCCATCACAAGAGACTAAACCAAAACTCGGGAAAGGTTCTAGCCTTTTTGCCTTAACAGATTTCACTAGTGCCCTAAAAGATATTGGTGTTGTGTATGCTTCAATTAACAAGGGGCTTGACCTAAAAGGTATGGAGGCTCCAAAGGAGGTGAGGCCTTTGCTTGATGAATTTAGTGATGTGTTTCCTAAGGACTTACTGATAGGATTACCACCATTAAGGAATACTCATTAGTGCATAGATTTAACATCGAGTGCTAGTCTCCCCAACAAGGCCCATTACAGAACGAGTCCCACTGAACATGAGGAGTTGCAAAAGCAATGTGATGAATTGATTAATAAAAGGTTCATACGAGATACTATGAGTCTGTGCGCGGTTCCCTCTTTATTAGTACCAAAAAAGGATGGTACTTGGATTATATGCATTGACAGCTAGGCAATTAATAAGATAACTGTCAAATACCGATTTCTGGGGCCAATGTGTTCACTAGGGGTGGATTTGAGCCGAGCTGAGCCAAATAGTTCGAGGCTCGAGCTCGGCTCGGCTCTAGCTTGATTTTGAGAAAAAATGTTTTATAAAAATAAAAAATTATATATAAAAATATCTTTTATTTGATATTTAAAAAATTAAAAATTATAATAATTAATTAAAAAGCTCAGTTGAAACCGAGCTGAGTCGAGCTTGAGTAGCTCATGAAAAGCTCGACTCATTGCCACCCCTAGTGTTCACTAAATTGGACTTAAAATCAAACTATCATCAAATCAGAATTTGTCCTAGTGATGAGTGGAAGACAACATTCAAGACGCGGGATGGTTTGTATGAATGGCTAGTGATGCCATTTGGTTTTTCCAAAGCCTTTTATTGGTTAGTGTGTTGTGTTATACTTTAATGATATTCTCATATATAGCACTGGTATGAACTTCCATTTGTTGCATCTTCGAGATATACTTATGACTTTGTGCAAGGAGTAACTTTATGAAACCATGAAGAAGTGTATTATTGCAAAGATCGGGTCTTATTCCTTGGGTATATCATCTCAAGGGAAGGAGTTTCTGTAAGCCTAGAGAAAGTTTGTGCCATTGTTGAGTAGCCCGTCCCCAAAACACTTATTGAAGCACGAAGTTTTTATAGTCTTGCAAGCTTCTACTAGCGAATCATTAGCAACTTCAACACTGTTATGGCACCATATACAAATTGTATGAAGGTTACAAACAATTTTGTGTTTACCACTAAAGTAGAGAGAGCCTTCATTGAGGCTAAGGCATGGTTGATAGTTGCACTCGTGCTAGCCCTTCCCAACTTTGAGTAATCCCTTGAGGTTGATTGTGATGCCTTTAATGTTAGAATCGGTGCTGTTCTCAGTCAAGGTGACTGGCCCATAGCCTATTATAGTGAGAAATTGAATGGATCATGCTTCAATTTTGTTAGACAGTTTTTGTATGCCCTTAGCTTCAATCAGAATGATGTACATTATGAGTTTATTGTAAATGAATAAAGTACATATTTGATTCATGTTCCT